CGTGATGAACAAACGACTCAAACCCGAAGACTCGAGAGATGAACTAATCAATTCTCTTTCCGGTTCAGACTGCATAGGTTAAGCTTATGGGGCAGTCACGTGATGAACGAACGACTCGAAAAACCCAAAGAGAACTACTTGACTAATTCCAGTACAGAACCTATAGGATGTTGCGCATGTGCCAGTGAACGAATCACTCCCCGAGACGACTCATTCTTCCCGAGCCACATTAAAGATTTGTTCAAAATGAACGAATCGTTCAAGAACGACCCATCACTACAGCATAGTGCAGTGTAGCTTTAAAAGTGACATGAAGTTCAGTCTATTAGCAATTAAACCGCTAACGCTTGCTTTTTCGTCTTCATTTTTTATTTCATTTCTTTTTTTTATTGATTATTGTCATTAATAACTTCGGCATCTTAAAGTAAGCATTTGTTAAGAGCATTGATGAAACGTGCAGGTGGCTTGTTCGTAATCGTTGTGGGATTTCATGGGAGATTGAAGACGCGCTAAACTTTCTTTGGTAACATCTCTGACTGTTTACGACAAAATGCTTTCAAGACGTCCGAAGTGGACCGACAGCAGCGAGAGCGTCTGAAACCACAGTGACAGATGGGGACTGGTTTTCCTCACAGATCTGCCAAAAACCACAGAAACATCAGGCGTTTGTGTTCATCCAGCACAACCGTGCATGTCAGATCTCATGTCTCTTGATATTTATTTATTTTAAGATCAAATAAAGGATAAAACTGTATAATTTATAATTAAAGTTAATGGGAGACTGGTTTTCTTCAAAGATTTGCCAAAAACATCAGGAGTCTGTGTTCATCTGGCACAACTGTCTATGTCCCCTGATATTTTATTTATTTATTTGTCCCTTTTTTTGCATTTATTTTTGGTTTACAAGTAATAATAAAAAAGGAAATAAAATCAAATAAAGGATAAAAATTATACAATTCATTTATTAATGATAAGTGTGTGTCAAATCGATTAATCATCCAAAATAAAAGTTTGTGTTTGCATAATATACGTCTGTGAACTTTGTATATTTATATATTTACAAACATAAATGTATATGATTTATATTGTATATTAATATATATTACATATATTTCTTAAATATATACACATACAATATATGTACATATAAATATACACAGTATACACGTTATGTAAACACAAACTTATTTTGGATGCGATTAATTGCGATTAATCATTTTGACAGAACTAATATATAGGTTTTACATAGATATAAATATATAGATATACTGTATATATCTCAAATAATTTATATATTGTTGAAAAGAATGACTGTACTGTGTAACATTTCTATGTCGAAAATAACCATTAAATGTGCTTTAAATTGCAATTAAATTGCTTTTCACATGACTTTACACATTTTTATTTCTAATTGTGATGTCAATAAGTTGACATTTTTGTAAAAAGCAAATGCTTGATTAAAATACAATCTAAAGAAATGTTAACAAAACTATAAAACTTAAGTCTCAAAATGTATGTAATATCTCATGTCTCTTGTTGGTTAGTTTTGATTTTCCAGTAAAAATAAACAAACAAACAAACAAACAAACAGTAACATTCAATGTGCTATTCAAATCGCAAATAGCAAATGTTTCCACGACTTTGCACATTTTATTTTTAATCACGATTTCATGTTGTTGACATTTTTGTAATAAGCAAATGCTTTATTAAAATCCAAACAATGCATCATATAGACTATCTATTTGTCAAAACAATGAAAAGTGTTAAAATATATGAGCATAAAACTGCTCTGGTATTATATCTCAGTAGTGGGCAGAGCTGGGTAGATTACTTACCAATTGTAGTCCATTACTGATTACAAATTACATACCAAAAACTGTAGTTTGTAACAATATGGATTACGCATATTAGGAAATGTAGTCTGATTACTTTTTGGATTACTTCATGATTACTTAATTTTGGAATCTGATTACATGTAATCAGTTACTACCCAGCTTTGGTAGTGGGTTGGCTAATATTAATTAGCCTAATTAATATTCAAGAAGCCAGGAAATTGAGACATAACAATTAGCTAGTTTGCCTGGCCGGTCCCTTTTTAAAACAAAGCAATGCACAATGTTGAAGTGCTTGTTTGTGTTCTGTGTTCTGTGTTCTGTATCCTTCTCCAGGCTGTTGTGTCGATGGACAAAGAGCGACGTGTTTAACATTCCTCTCAACTGTGGGCTCTTCCAGAACCTGGTCTCAGAGGAAATGGATTTAAAGGGCAACAAGTAAGGAATGTGACTCCTCGTAAAAACTGCATAATGATGTTTCAAGCCCGATAGCTTGTAGAAAGGACCGGAGAGAGAGGAAAAGTAGAAGATAAGGATGTTTTCTGCTGAATAAATGTGATTACAAATGTAACCCAAGAGCCAAGGAGTGTCGTAAAGGTAACGAATGCATGTCACTTCTGTTTGGTACCAAATCTTTGATAAGGTTTTTTCTCACAAACTCACTCTCTCTGTTTTACTGATTGCTCAGCAAGACCTCTGATCGCTAAATGCCAAGCCGGCTCCTGTTGCTGTGCTGTATGACAGCTTAATAATGGCTTTCTCAGGTGCACGTTTTCATTTCACAATAGAGCCGCGGTCCGGCTGCGTGGTCACACATTTTGTGTGTGGCCTCCTCAGGTCCACATTCATGACGCCTGACAAAGTAGAGCCCTGTAGAGTTTTCAGAGTCCGACTCAAGTGTTCAGAGCTGCATTTTGCGTCTAGTTCTTTTTCTTCAGTCGTATATATGACCCACATAGAGAATAGATTCTTGTGCAGATCTTAGCTGGTCATGACCCTTACAAAAACATGTCATGGTTATAGTTTCTGTCAAAATACCATAATTATTATAGTGTAAAACTAGTCATTTGAGCCGTCTAGAAGCTGCTCCCGTGTTCAGTAATTATGTTTTGCATTAATCACTAATCATTTTCCATCATCACTCAAAAACATCAACACAATTTTCCATTAATTAAAATGTTTTAGTAAAAATGCATGTCGGGTTAGGTTAAAATGGCTGTTTATTGTTATATTGGTACTTTGAAATGAATGATTCAGCATCGTTCCTTCATTTAGAGAACATTGTGTTTTTCAGCCAGTGGAAACATGCATTTATTTTTAGGTGTTTACTGTCTGTTCGTCTTGCATTAAACCATTAATCGAATTGGCTTCAATGACTGTTTGGCTGAAATGATAGTTCCTCGGATTGAGGAAAAAATGAAAACACTCTTTTAAGCCTGCACAGAAAATAACCTGCATAAATATGGAGATATATAAATTTTTTCTGTTTTGCAGCCTTTTGGCGACATTCATTCATTTTTTTGTTTGTTTGTTTATGCATTTGTTCATTTATTTTATATGCAATTTATGTATTAATGCATACTAATATACAGTACATGTGCATTATGCATTCATTCATGCATTAATTTATTTGATATGCATCTTTTTATTTTTATGCATTTATTTATTTTATAAGCATCAGTTCATTTTTATATGCATTTGTTTTTCTATATGATATCATTTAGTTAGTTATTTAAGCATTTTATTGATTTATTGATGAATTCATACGTTTCATTTATGCATTTAAAAAAAAAATTTTTTTATAAGCATCTGTTTATGTGTATTTGCTTTTTATATGCTTTTATTTAACATCTTGAAAAGACGTGGAAGCTCTAGTTGTCCTCTATTTTTATATGCATTTGTTTTTCTATATGATATCATTTAGTTAGTTATTTAAGCATTTTATTGATTTATTTATGAATTCATACGTTTCATTTATGCATTTTTAAAAAAAAATTTTTTTATAAGCATCTGTTTATGTGTATTTGCTTTTTATATGCTTTTATTTAACATCTTGAAAAGACGTGGAAGCTCTAGTTGTCCTCGCCAGTTTGTTAACAACAAAAACAAACAATTAAAATTACTTAAAGCAATTTATTAATCTTACTTAATGTCAACATTTCCAAATACGTTATTAAAACCTATATATGTTCATATTATTTAATGGACCTGAGCTAACATGGACTATCAAAGAACATATGCATTTTGATTTAATTGAAGCACTGTAACAAATGCTCGTTGCTCAATGTTAGTTCATGTTTTAACTAATGTTAACGAATAGAACCATTTTTCTTGACGGTCCATAAAACCAATGCTGTGCTACCAGTCAAACAGAAAAAAATCTTTTGCATGATCCTCTTCACTTTTCTCCATCAGATTAAAAGATCTGATTGCCTGAGGTTAAAATTATACCATTGTTAATGTGAAAACAAGCACATTCCTTCAATATGGCATGGGTAATTTATTGAAATAAGTGAGCAGAGTCTCGTCACATGAGGCTTCCCGAACTCTGACGGCTAATAGGAGATTGTGTGCCACCTTTGACATTCGTGCACCCTTTTCAATAGAACGCCGCTCATTATGGGAGGAATTACGGCTGTTTTAGCACCTAATTGTGTGGCAGAGGAATTAGCAACGATAGCAAAGAAAGCACATTTCACGCTTTGGCTTTTATACAAGCAGAATTACAGCGAGGGCCATCAGGGGAACCTCTGTCTTCAGCACTAATGTTATGTAATTACCATTAACATTTAGACAACAGGAAAGTCATTGGCAGAAGTTTGTAAGGTTACAGTACAGTAGAATCACCATCTGAAAGAGCTGTGGTTGTAAGACGATGCTGGTAACCCCTCGTTCAGGGAATAAATGGAGTCAATTGAGTATCCTTTTGAAAAGTGAATGAAAAGGACATGAGCTATTACGCCGCGTTTTGAAAGAAAAGCCCAACTTTTTAGAAGCTGCTCAGCGCGCTGACATTTGCTTGGAAATTGAAAGGCATTTTGCAGGCTGAGAGTGACCTTTGCGCGAGATGTGAATTATCTCCCACACATCAATTCATGTGATGGCTTGAGTGTTATGAATAGGCTCATAGCTGTTAGGGTTGGCCTCCACTTTCGCCGGTTAAAGGAGTAACCTGACCTTCGCACACATGAGTGCCGGGTCTGCGCTTGATGGGACAGAGACATTGCTTTGGCAAGATTGTGCTTGCCGTTTTATGTGTAGTTAGGGTACATATGGACGAGGTTTTAAGCATCCTAAACAGAAGCCCACTCTGCCTGAACAAACCCACCCGAGAAATGAGTTTGTAGGGAGACAGGGTTCTGTAGAATTGTGTCTGGGACTAATTCAGTTGAATTGTTAATTTGAATAATTCAGCATGGCCAAGGAGGTCAGTGCCGGTACATGCCGTAATCACACACACACACACACATACATAAACACACACACACACACACACAGGTTTGTTTTTGTGAATTGTGGGGACATTCCATAGGCGTAATGGTTTTTATACTGTACAAACCGTATTTTCTATCGCCCTACACCTAACCTTACCCCTTACAGGAAACTGTGTGCATTTTTACTTTCTCAAAAAATCTAATTCTGTATGATTTATAAGCGTTTTGAAAAATGTGGACATGGGGTAATGTCCTCATAAGTCACCTTCTCCTTGTAATACCTCATACCCATTTCATTATACAAATTTGTGTCCTCATGTCACAAAAACGCTCGCGCGCACACACACACACACACACATATATAATAAAGAACTAATAGTTAATATTAAATATATATATTTGGACCTTGTGATGCATTCAGTTGATTCATTGAAGCTGAATTATTTATAAATCTGACATTATTAGAGGTGGTATGTATTATTTTATAATACAGTTCAAAAGTTTGGGGTAAATGTTTTTTTTTTTTTTTATGAACACTTTAATTCTGCAAGAATGCTTTAAATTGATTCAATTGATCAAATGTGACCATAAAAGCATTTAAAATGTTAAAAAACCCCCTTTTCATTATATATATATATATAT